GGTCTGGAGTGGGGTGTTCTAGCGCGCTGCTCGTCGCTCTCCACACGACCGGCTGGGAGGCAGCCGCCCACGCACCGAAGCTCGCTGGCCAAGAGAGCTTGGACCCACCGCCGCCATGACGGGCAGGTAGGAGAAAAAACAACGAGGTCCGCCGTGGTCGCCTGGAAGCTCGGCTGGGCTTTATTTGCCAGGGCGGGGGTGACTAAGCGCCTGGACAGCCTAGCCGCCTTCCTCCCCGGGACCGCTACCTCCGGAGGCTCAGTAGCTGGCAGGGTTCCCCCTTCCGCGGGAGTTAAAAAGCAGCAGTCGGGCTTTGCAGTCGTGATGCCTCGTGAGCGCGGGAGGGCGTGTATGGAATGGGACCACTAGCCGACGAGAAGGTTTCTTTGCCCATCTACCTGGGATGGAGTCTCGCTCTTCTGGCCACAGCCGCTCATTTCTCTTACATATGATGCGATCATTTTTGCTTTAAGTGGCCTTGGAGATAGTGAAGACCAAATGCTAGGTTGTCAACAGCAGGTGGCAGCACCTAGCTGACCTTGGCTGATTGCACAAAACCGAAGCAGGTACCAGTCCTGATTGTACTTAGATGGGAGACCACAAGGAAATCCGGGTCTTCAGCCTAGACTGGGAAGTTAAAAAACATCCTGAAAGAAGGCCGTGTATTGCTGCTATAATCCCTGTAATCAATCAATCAATCCCTGAAGTCACTTGTAAAGTACACTTGTTGCTTGGGGCTGGCTTTATCTTAAACCATCTTTGTGGGGGTCTTATTAGCTAATAAACATTTGCAGAATGCTGAGGTATAGCAAACAAGCACTTTATGTGGGGAGGGTGAAAGCTTTTACCCTGTCGCTTTGACTCTTCAGGCCTGTCACTGTTTAAATATTAGACACCATTATTTGTTTTCTGAAATTATTTGCTCTCTGAGAGCCAGTTTGGTTGAATAGTTAAGGCTCCAGGCTAGAAACCAGGAGACGGTGAGTTCTAGTGCCGCCTTAGGTATGAAAGCCAGCTGGGTGACTTTGGGCCCGTGGCTCTTTCTCAGCCCACAATGTCAGGCTCGGGTGAAAAGCCAGTCGGTAAATTCCTGTCGCAACCAGTGGATCAACATTTGGTTGATCCAAAAAAAGTGGACCCTGCTCCTGCAAGAAAAATCCTAGGAAGGAAAAAGAAATGCCTCTCTCTTCTCGGAACCACTATAATTGCAGGCGTCCATCTCTAGGCTTTGAATTGACTGTACGTTATTGTAGATTGGTGCTACTTTTACTGTCTATAAAATAAATTTAAACTATAAAATACATGAGTATCGATTGGGGAGAGTGAATGCTGTGCAAAGGTCTGTTAGAAAGAATAAAGCATGTAATGACAAAGGGAATAAAAATACAGAGTTGTTCAAATAGATTGTTAAAAGAATCAGAGAAAACCTATAAAGAGCATTGTAAGGTTCTGGGTAGATATTGGGCAGATGTTGGTCTGCCCTTCTTTAGAGCAACTCTGCTGTAAAGAGGTTCCAAGTTGCATAAAAATGCAGTTTGTGAGCACATACCAAGAACATAAATGTTAGAGGCTGTGAATCAAAGTTAAACATACAGTTGAAATAAAAAATAACTTTATGCAATATTTCTAGCTAACCTTGTTACCTCTTCCTTAGGATGAGCTGATGCCTAAAGTCAAAGTACCCTTACTTGTTTTAGTGGACTTTTCCCCAGCTTCTTATAGATCATTTTCTTTTTATCAGAGGCTCCACAGCAGTGTTTTTAATTCCTTCTCCCAATACCTTGCTTCTCTTCCAAATTTTAAAGGCGATACCCTTTTACTTTACAAGGGGGGAGCTGGGGGATCTCTTGTGCTATGTGTTAAGGTAAGTATCCTTCCTTTTGTTTGAGCAAAGAGATGCATCCTGGGGAAATCTGCAGTTTGTGTGACATGCAGCTGACAGGCTGGAGTTTTGTGAAGGCATGTTGGGTTCACAACTATATTATATTTGCTCTTACTATTATATTTTTATTTGCTTTTACTATTATTTAATTTTTTGTCAGTGGGGGTAGTAATAAACCTGCATTTTCATTTTATTTTGCATAAATAAATAAATACATTAATTCTATTAAAAAAAGATAAACAATGAGGAATAGCAAGAAGAAATCATGAGACTGAAATGACAAGGCTCTGTTAGTCCAGTAGTGGACTTAGCCTATTTTTTGTGTTTTGTGAGTGCAAATGATGGTATTCAGGGTTATTCAAAAATAATGTTCTGAACATTTCTTTCTTACATGATTTTAAAAAATCTAACTATGCAGTATAGGTGTTCATGAGCTATTTGGCATAAAATTAAGCTATATGATTAATGAATTTGCATAAATACTTCCAAACAAAAAATTAAATGCCTACTATTTAAAAATGTCATTGTTAATGATGAAGTATTTCTGTCTATGTTCTGTTATAAATTATCACATCTTTTGAAACTGTGGTTGCCAAATCAATCATGATTCCCATGATTAATGGATTATGATAGTAGGACAGACTGGCAGAGAAGTAGTATGGGTGAGTCATTAAAAGTCCATAAAACTTACCCTATGTGATAAATATAACAGAATGCCTGTAAACACATAACGGTTCTTATTGGGGAAAACTTGACATCTTTCCCTACTGTGGCAAACCTTGGTTGTTTAATAGATAACTGGTGGGCTTAATAGATAAAAGATAAGACCTTCTGACTTAAGGCATGTTATCCTGGCTAGGTATGATAATAGCAAATTAGATAAGGAACACTCATAGCACACCCAAGATATTTCCACTTCTAGATCTGTGAAAATAATTAGTGCAGAAACGGGAGAATCTGTCAGGCTACTCTGGTGAAACCTTTGGCAATGATTGCTCTAAAAGATTGCTAGTATTACTGCTTCCAACAATCTTAATAAAACCAATAGTTGTTTTTTTTTAAACTGTTAAAAATAACTTTTTGGGTGTTTGCATATTGTTAGATTCTTTACCTTACTCCAGTTTGTTTCTGTTACAGTGGGGTTTTTTTTATACAGACAGAATAGGGAATACTGTAATAACTAATAAGCAACCTCACATGAAATATGATAACAAAAGACAACAGAGCGATAGATAAAGGAGAGAAGGACAAGGAGGGATCACCAAAACAATTTAAACTTCAGAGTTATGACTCTGATTTGTGCAATGTGATCCTTTTTCCAAAGTGGGTGTGGAGTAAGCAACAGCTTCAGTCAATAACTTTCTGTGTCCAGAGTTTATGTACTGGGGTGGGGGTGGGGGTAGGAATGTAAAATATGTTTCTTGACTGAGCTTCTTGATATGTTACTGGTATGTGATTTTTGGAGTGAGTTTCAAAGCCACTCTGCTCTTTTCTAGCAGAGAAAAGTGACCTAAAGAACTTTAGATAGGGCATAAATAATACAAAACTAGCTAAGGAAGGCTGACACTAAAGGATATATTTCTATTATTATCATTGTTATTTACTGATGAAATATCTACTGTTAAAAATCTCGTAGCTTTTTCTTCTAGTTTTTATTTCTGATATTTATAGTGAGGGAATTGAGGTGAATAAAGTTTTGAAATTTAGTGTTTGTTAAATGGCTCTGAACAAGTACAATAATTCTGAATTCACAACATTGTTATTAATGGGATGGATTGAAGAAAGAAGTAAAGCAGGCAAGAAATCTATGCAGTTCCTGAGCAGAAAATGGTGTATAAGAAGAATGGACTTTACTTCTTTTAATTAGCAAGTACAAGAAGACAGTTTTTCTGGAAGAAATCTATTTCCTGAACCTTGTGAGTTTGTACTTCAGAGTCGCTGTCCTGTTATCCTCATGCAGTTTTCTTCCCAGTGGTAAGAACCATGGCTGGTGTGGGACTTCAGGGGCTAGCATCTTCCAAACTCTATCAACGCCGACAAGAACGTCTGAGTGGCACAGTGTCCCTGTTGAATGATGAAAAAGAGAGGGCAACCGGAATATTAGGGTAGGTTATTTGGATACATCCTCAGAGTAATAGTCGCCAATATGTTTAGAATGTTTGCTCTGATTTACTTTGAGGCAGGAAGTAAGGAAAACCAGGTTTGAATTTCCCCTCTTCACTTCAGGGAAGTGTCCCTTTGGCTCTGATTGTATCAGTTCTGTACAAAAACAGGAAACCAGCTATGGAAACCTTCGTCACTTGAAGTTAAAATAGGTAATAGGATGGTGGTGTAACTAGCACTGTATAAATAAACTTAGAGTATCTCTATCTTGTTATATTTGATTCGACCTTACTTGGCATCAAGAATCAACTGATACTTTTTCCCGTCTAAAATAAGTTTACAATATTATCAATACTTTTTTAAAGTTATAGTTTACTTTTTCTTTGTGTTCAGTGTGTATGATCATACTGCAAAAGAAACAGGATTTTAATCCCTTGAAGCAGGGCAAAATTTTCCAGGACATATTTTCTGTCTTTGAAATATAAGAAAAGCTCCCTTATAAAAGTTTGGTGATCTTTAGAAATTGTTTAGTTTTTTAAAAACATATATACTGTAATTGTATATGCATAGTTCAGACAAACCTAACGTTTTCCTTCCTCCTTAACAGAAAAGTTCATGTATAGTGAAGCATTTATAATCATTGGCCAAATAGCAGTTTACTGCATAAAAGTGTAATATACTGTTTAAAACTTTAATAAGTTTTAATGCTTTTTTAACATATACGTGAAACCACTAGGTGAGGTCATCAGGAGTTTGGATGATGATGATTATCAATATGCTACAATAATGATACCCAAATCTATTTCTTCTATAATTTTTTTCTCAAGACATGGGGTTGTCTTCCAGACAAACTATAAAGTTATTATCTATCAGTTTAAAACCCAAAATACCTGAAGTTTGAGTTGTTTGAGATACCTCATTTTTCTCTATGATCCTCAGTGTTGAGATAATCGGAGACATCGGTCTTGGGTGCCTCCAGCTTACCTAGCGATGGCTTAGGAATGGGCCTTCTCAATTGTTGCTCTTAAATTGTAGAAAGCAGCCTATGTTGGTATCAAGGGTCTACTTCCTTAAGAGGCTTTCAAGAAAGCTATAAATTCCTCTTTTCAGTCTCTTTTAATGATATTGAATAGTTTTATATTTTAATTTGATTTTTATCTTGATTTTTACAGTATTTTCTTTTAATATACTTTGGTTTTAATTTTAATGTAAACCATTCTGAAGTGTTTAGGCAAGACAGTATAGAAATAAAGTTACATACATAACAATTTACACAGCCCCTTCTACCTTGGTACAGAGGGATTTGATGGGTTGGAACTATAGTCTGTGATAGGTGTTACACTAGAATAACCCTAAAGGGAGCTCAGATAGCAAGATTCTCTGTCTCAGTATAACTTTATGAACATAAAATGTTGGCTGACCCATCTCATTATACAGGGATGAAAAAAACTATGCTTGCTAGGCATCTGTCTTCTACATAAAACGTACAGGAGTATTGGCTTTCTTGGTGTCTGGTCATTAACCTCTTGGTATGCATAACAACCCCACCGTATGAATTGCATAAACAAACCTACTTCCTCCCATTGGCAGTCAAGTCACAGAATTCTGAACCAGTTGCAGCTTGTGAGTCATCTTCAAGGCAGCCCCATGTAAACCACAAAGCCAAGCTGTAAGATGATGAGTCTCTATTGTGTGATTATCCCAATCCCAAAAAGGTCACAACTAGTCCTCCTGACTAATTACATTCAAGGTAAATTAGAGTACTTCTATATAGTTATCTTCATTCTGTCTAACATTCCCCAGACTTCTAGAATCAGCTTTGAAGCGGTTTGTGATTGCTCTCGCCACAGCTGCTGAAAAGTCTGAATGAGCCAATCAGCATTTCCTCCAGCTTGAAGGTTAGGGAAGAAAGCAAACCTTGGGATCTCTCTTGTACCCCATTCCGTTTCCACCTGTACTGAGATTGTCTCCACAGCATCCCTCTAAACAGTTGGCCTGGTTGCTCTGCACACATCCACTACTGGTATAGACATCAATCAACTTGTGTTGTACAATCCTTCAGCTTGGAAATACTAATAGGGCTGATCTTCTGTGATGTGATATGAAACAGCCCATATGGCAATTTTCAGAGCTCTCCATTTTTCTGCCGTTGACCTTGTCTGTATACATTAAAGTATATATTCCAGATTAGGCTGGCTGGAAAAAACTAGTTTCTGGCATACATTACTTCTAGCCTGGAATATACTATTAGGCAGCCAAGTTTGTAGGGCAGAAATAATGGATTTACATTTTTTTTGTAAACTCAAGGAGTAGAAATTGGACAGCCTCAGTAGTTGCTGCAAAGACTAAAACAAGAATAAAAGGACTCAGGCATTGATGTATTTATAAAGGATGCATTTTTAGATATATTTTAATAGCATTTGCAAGGATTGCTTTTAATTTTTTTTAATTGGTGTTTGGTATATTCTATTTTAATATTTTATATGTTAGTATTACTTCAGACCTTAAGGGCGCTATGGTGCTCAATTTCTCTGGTTAGATTGTATTAATTTTTATTATGTACCTACCCATATTCCAAGATACTGTACTTTGATAATAGAACACTCAGCAATATCTGTTAATTAACTGACTTTTTCATTCTTATAAAGTTAGCTGGATCCTTAACTTCAATAGAAAATATCTGTAGCTCAGGATTGAATTGAGTTTTTGGCGCTTTCTGAGATTGGTTGTTTGCTTGCAGACGTTTCATTGCCTAACTAGGTAACATCATCAGTGTAGGATTTGCTGCCTGTGTATACCTCATAGCTTGTCCTGCCAGTTTTGATGGGGATGTAGTTTCCTCCGTGGTGGTTCCTTGATTATTGTTTTCTGCCTTATTGTTTGTCTGGTGCTGATCCCTGCTTATCTGAATGTTGGTTGTTGGAGGGGTTCTAGTCTTTTTGTTTTTTCCTAGGTTTTTTATTGTCTTTTTTTTTAATGTTGTGTAAATGTGGTTTATCTCTATGTGTCTATTGATGGCTGATTTGTCTGAATGCCGAGCATCCAGGAATTCGTAGCATTTTTGGATTCGGCTTAGTCTAAGATGCTAATAGTTTCCCAGTTAAAATTGTGATTGAGTCTGTGTGTTGTGAGATTAAGGAATTTTTGTTATGTCTTCTGACAGCTAGTTGGTGTTTGTGGATGTACTCTGCTAGTCTTCTGCCAGCGTGTCCTTGCATTGTATGTTGTAGATAACCCCTGTTTTTTCTTCTTGGGCTACTGGGTCTTTTGGTTTGCTTAAGAAGTTTTGGAGGGCTTTAGTTGGCTTGTGTGCTACAGTGATGCCATGTGGTTATAACAGTCTATTGCTTGTTTCTGAGATGTTTTTGATGTATGGAAGTGTTGTCCTTTTCATGGGTTGTAGTGGTTGTCCTATAACAGCTTGTGTGATTAGACACTTTTTGATAAAGTTGTGTGGGTATCCATTTTGTTGGAAGATATTTAACTCCTGTCTTTAATTCCTAATGCAAGTTATGAAAGCTGCTGTTCTAATATAAGAAATTCTTTACTATTTGACATTTTTAGCCTTTTGCAAGTAGGTGGCTGTGTGGGATGGATGAGTGCTGCAACATGAAAATCCAGAAATGCTTGTAAGGTCAGAAGTAACAAAAGGCATAACTATGGCTCTGCCAAGATGCAGATCATGTTTTCCTCCATGGAAGTTTTCACTTCTGTTTCTTGTAGCCCATTAGCACTTAGTTTTTCACATAACTCTCATCTGGAAATGATATTTGTGTCATGAAAATCTCTCTCTCTCATCTTTACTTATTCAAGCTTTTCTGGTATTTTGGCAGTCCTTGCTTTAAACAGTTAGCATGAAAGTTGAAAGCATCAATAGAATATATCCATAATACTTCCAAAATACTTTATTCCAAGGAAACTCTGGTCCATTATTTTTAAGTCATTAATTTGGGGGGAAAATAGCTCACGAGCTCACAATTTACAAATCATGAAGAAAAGTTAACAAGCAGTCACCTTCAGAAACAATAGGAAAGCTGAGACAAGTATAAAAGCTCAAAAAATTAAAAAGATTATTTTACATGCATACACAAAGAAGACCAGCAATGGGAGAGGTAGCTGTGTTAATCTATGGCAGCAAAACTAATACAGTGGTACCTCGGGATACGAACGCCTCTACTAACGAACCTTTCGGGTTATGACCAGCTCCGGCCGCAAAAATTTACCTCGATGTGCGAACTCCGCCTCAAGGTACGGCCATTTTTCCGCCCTGACACGTGGTTCGCAGCCATTTTCCCGCCCCTGGCACATGGTCCGCGGCCATTTTCCCGCCCCTGACACGTGGTCCGCGGCCGTTTTCCCGCCGTGCTGTGCGGCGCCCGGCCGTTTTCCCGCCGCGCCCGGCC